AATCCTAAATATGAAAGAAACTGGGCTGATAATTACTGTTATGGATTAGAAGAAGTCGAAGCTATCCTGCATCAGGATTCAGCTTCAGTTGTGCTTCTACAGCACAAAAAGTAACCTGCATCAAAACCAGGTGTTTCTGCCATGATAAATACCACTGCTTTTCAAAAAGTCAATACATTCATTAAAAACAAAAACAACCCCCCCCCCACTTTGTCGCAATGACTTATATGTGATATCAAATATAACAATTACCTTCTTCTCCTAAAGCGAGATACTTTACATATCAATTATCAACATGTTTTTCCAGACCAAAGCAACAGGAACTTAGGTTAATTTAATAGAAAAAATAAAATATGGAATAACATTGATTTTGGCCAGTATCAATTACAACAGTACTACTCTATTTTACAAATGACAACTGAACATTTTACACATGTACAGTATTTTTCAGTAAAAATGAATTTGGATTTAACAACGTGTCAGTATTTTAAAAAGAAAACAAAGATATTAATTTCTTCTCTATAATAGTGTTAGAGACATTTGTAAGTATCCAAACAAATTCTTTACAATCCATTACATAATTATATCTCAATTATGAATATATATATATTTATATATAATATATAATATTAACTTAAACTTTGAAAGCATTATGTTCTAGTTAATAATGTTATTAGAGTAATGAGGATGTAACAGACTAGTAGTTAAACTAGCACAAATAAAGTTGTCATAACTTTGAATGTTAAGCAGAAAATTTAATGAGCACCAAAGGAATGTCACAGTTCTTTTACTATCATTGAGAACAGGATGTCTGTAAGAATTCACCTGTTTTCTGTGAAAAGGAACATATTGTTTCTACTGGCACTGGTGCTTTCATTTGTAAAATTCAGGGACTGATTTCATATTGAAAAAAGGGAAGTCTAGAAGTTCTATTTCTACCATTTATATTTTTACAGAAATGTTTTCCATTTTCCATTTGTGTGTCAGTGATCGTCGCAGAAGGAAGACTTGTTTTAGGCCAGGTCTACACTACCGCTGCCGGTCAATCTAAGCTATGCAATTTGAGTTATGTTAGTAGTGTAACTCAAGTCGATGTAGCTTAGAGCTACTTACCGCAGGGTCCACACTTCTCTATGTCGACAGGAGATGCTCTCCCGCCGACATTACTTCCGCCTCTCATTGAGGTGGAGTACAGAAATCGATGGGAGAGCGATCTCCCATCGATTGAGCATCTTCACTAGACCTGCTAAATCGATGCCGTTATGCCAATTTAGCTCTGTAGTGAAGACAAGCCCTTAGTCAAATCAATATCTTTGAAATTTAATTTACTACATTTTACGTAAATAATGGGTGTCAAGCAATATTCTAATAGGAACATATAAAAATATGTTGACTGGGACTGACGTGTAACTAGAAAAGGAAACACTGGAGCCTTATTCTTCTCTCACTTAAACTGGCTTCACTGGGTTACTCCCAATTTATACCATTGTTGATTAAGAGCAGCTTAAGGCCCAGACTGACAAGAGGAATATTACTACACAAAATCCAAACTGGATAGACATCATCCCTCGATGTAAATTTATTGATCTAAATGTAGTTACTCCAAGGGTTGAATTTGACCCAATGTATCGATTCCAGTTGTAGGGCCCAGTCCTGTAAACACTTACTTCTGGATGTAGTCTCATTGAAATCTATGTATTAGCACTGTGACTAGTAGTACATGTTTGCAGGATCAGGCCCCCTGTTTGCTAAAATACAAGATAAGATTATACAACTACTACTTCAGTGTTACCTGTGTGCTCCAGACATGAGTTTACAAAATACTTTCATTCATGAAAAATAAGAGGACCAGGCCCTTTCGGAATTTGTTCACAATAGGAAGAATGCCCTTGTCAAAACTTAGGTGTTATGAACCGCTTACATTTTATTCCAAATAGCTTTGACAATTTAAAGAAAGAAATTAAAATCCCAGAATAGCGGTTAACAAGCTAACTGTCTCATGACCAGATCTATATAACTGGGGTGGAGGGTGAGAAGCAAAATGTATGTAAAGACTGCGTGATGCAAAAACAAGCACACAGCGTAGGAAACAAAGTAAGAAATATGTGTGGAATTGATCACTTTTTAATTTATTTTTAATACTGATACAAAGGATGCAGAACATAGTCCCACATACAAAGATGTTTCTAATTCCCGCAGGGACTGGTATTCTTAAGTTCCCCCTGATTATTACTATATAAGCACAAAAAAAGACTGATGCAAGTATTTTTGTTTTTGTTTTTGTTTGTTTTAATCCATGTAAACTTGTGTCGTATTCTTGAAACACTCTTTAAACACCTTGAAGGGGAAACAAGCAGGGGGAAAAAAAAAAGGAAAGGAAGAAAAAGGACCACCAAAAACAGGGATAATCCTAAGGTTGACAGGAAATCAAATAATTACTTTAATGTTAATTTTGGCATCAATGCTTTGGTCACACAATACTGACTGTGATCCCGGATGCTTAGCTCTAAACACCCAGTTATGAAAGGTAGGCTTGTTGTAGTTTTTCCATTAAAGTTCCAACAAACAGTTCACCGTCTCCCCTGACAAAGAGGAGCGAGAGAGAGAAAGAGGTGGCTTGCTTTTTTTTTCTTTTTTCTTTTTTTAATAATATGGATTAATCTATAAGTCTACAGGAGCAAGAGGATTCTGGGAGGTACCAGTTCACCCTTTGTGCGTACATGTTCTGCAACAAAGTTGCTGAAGTACTTTCCTTTGACACAGATTGTTCTTTTTCACTAGCATACAGAATCCTCCCTCGGCCCAAGATTCTTCCGTTGCTTCCGGAGGTCAGCGATAGAGGGAGGGGGCAAGTTGAAGATTTGAAGAGTATGGTGTACAACGGAGGAAGGTTTAATTGGTCAGACAGGCAGATTTGATAGAAGAGACCATTCAGGAGCAGGTAGCAAGTAGGAAATTTGGTCCATCAAAAGGAATTTCAGTCAACAACATTTTTTTTTTCAAGAAGAAATATTGTGTTGTCCGACAGGGAGTGATTGGTATCCATTTGTGAAAGGGGAAAAAAAAGATTAGAAAAAGAATAATTAGAAAACAGTGATAAATACAGTGAAGGATTTTTTCTGAGTTATTATGAATCAAAAGGGTATAACAATCATATCACAGAAAGAGAATAAAACATTCTAAACAGAAATTGAAACTTTGTAAGTCTGACACGCAACCAATGCTTCTTGATCCCCAGCCAGTAATATAAGATCCTCCTTCTTTGGAAATTATAAGCAACATGATTACTTCTGTTTGTCCTCCCAGGCTACTGTAATAAAAATAACACCATTTGCATGAGCACCTTCTCAACGCCTGCTGACTTCAATGGCAGTGGAGGGTGCTCAGTACTTCCTCGGACTTCTCAGCTTCTGGCAGGATTGAGCCATATACCCATGAAATGATGAGTTAGTTATTTCTGTGCATGTTGGTCTTGTACCATTTTGATTTTGTATCCACAGACGCTGCTTTAATTTGTACAAGTGGGCAGAGGAAAGCACTTGTGGGTGTATACATAATATTTTTCACAAAAAGGATGGTGTGTAACAGCCGTGGAAAGTGAGAAGCTGGTATAATCATGTTCACACAGAAGAGTATTTCTAATGCAAATTTACTTTGCCTGAGCTCTTTTTTTTTCAGCTCAACTTCAATAACAATCCATGTAAACAGATTTCAGAGTAGCAGCCGTGTTAGTCTGTATCTGGAAAAACAACGAGGAGTCCTTGTGGCACCTTCGAGACTAACAAATGTATTTGGGCATAAGCTGTTGTGGGCTATAACCCACTTCATCAGCTGCATCTAATGAAGTTGCATCTGATGAAGTGGGTTATAGCCCATGAAAGCTTATGCCCAAATACATTTGTTAGTCTCGAAGGTGCCACAAGGACTCCTCGTTGTTTTTAATCCATGTAAAGTACAAGAAACAAAATTCTGCCCTCAATTATGCCCATCTGTGCAAACTCATTGAAGTCATTGAGGTTGCACAGGTATAAATGAGGACATATTTTAGCCAAAGGAGTTCCAGGCCTAACGGGTATTGCAACATATTGCTGATATGCAAGAGGATACTCTGAGTATACGACTTTAATTTTTCTTTTACTACTAGCTTTATCTGACTTGAAAGTGTAAACTGACTAACATGATCTATAAATGTCCAAAGAAGCACTATGGGCCCAATCCTGCTTCTATTGAATCAATGGTAAAATGCTCATTTGACTTAAATGGGAGCTAAATGGGCCCCAGAATGATTATTAGTTCTTACTATATTTGCTTTGCCAGACATTTGTCCCACTGTGTGTAACACTAAGCTTCCTTTCTGAAATGATCTCACTTGTTGAATTGGCCCGTACCTGCAATGACCTTCGGTAGTAACACCTTCAGGAAAAGGACCCTGTTATCTCTTTAACTGTACACACCCTTTGATGCTTTAAATAATATAGTAATGAAGCCAATAATATGCAGTAAGAGCAATGCTGTATCAAATGCAAGAAAGAGCTTAGAGAATGCCAAAATTTCCATTATGAAGATGGTACAATATTTTCAAAATGGTCTCTATTTTCCTCTTGCTATTCATTCACATAATTCAATTAAGGTTATTGACAGTTAACATCACATTAGTTGTCAACATCTTTACAGCTTAGAAAGGCAAATCAGACACACATGAATCTTTCAGTTAAGAGTGCGTTAAGATATTCATATGAAAAATCTTTCTACGGAAATGCCCATTACAAAAAAAATGAGGTGGAAGTCATGGGCTAAAGCTCAGATAAAGAACGGGGTCTATGAAACAAAAATAATCCATATTATATATTTGCCCCACTTATAAATCTGAAAATATAACAAAAAATCATTTGGGAGATCCAAAATACTTCAAGAAGCCAAGCCAACACAAAATGTGGAAATATTAAGTTAACTTTGATGCCAACAAAAGGAATATTTTTGAGAAAAATAATAATACTTACCATCCTTACAGACTGTTCCAATTACACAGATGCCGGTATCTAAGATATAGCCATTTGGACAAGATGTACAGTTTTTGTCTCCTTGACCACTGCATTCCAAGCAGCTGGCATCACATCTTTAAACAAAACAAAACAAAAAACAAAAAGCCAGAAGTTATCACAATTGCCACTAAGCAACAACAAGAATTTCCATCACACTGTCTCAGTTAAGTTCTCGTCACTGAGATCATTCATATTCTTTTATTTAATGATAACTACTTGATTCTGAAATTTTGAAACTAAGTACAGCAGGTAGAAGTAACCAGTCACATTTATAAAAGACATTAGACATCCATAGACTGGACAAAACTATACAGGGAGACAAGCATCGAAAAGTAAAGCGTGTCATAGAAGATTAAAGGAGTATTATGCGTTTTCTGTGGAAAGCTGTAACAAAAGGTGATTCCCAATACATCTGTTAGTCTATAAGGTGCCACAGGACTCTTTGCTGCTTTTACAGATCCAGACTAACATGGCTACCCCTCTGATACTTATACCTGTCAAAGAGAGGTTGTCCAAAGTCAAAAAATAAGAGCTGCAGAAGGGCCTGAATGGTACTTTACAAAGATCTGCAAAAAACTCTGTCCCTGTCAAATAAAACTCAGCAAAAGGTTACCAAGCCTTGTCCATCAAGTATTTCTGCTCCGTAGCTGGTTTTGTATAGCCAAGGAACTGAATGGTCCATATGAATGGCAATTTACCTCTTGGCAAATGGCTACTATTGCTTTTTTAATGGAAAAGAACAGCCCCTCTGCTAGACCCATTACCTTTTTACCATATTTTTATGCCCATAATTTAAAATTGATTAATAAAATCTTGATTTAAATAAGCAGAACGCACACACACGTGTGTGTTTTAAAACGATTTAAAAGCCCTTATATGGAAATTATAATAATGTTAAAAATTCTTGCTTTCTTCCCATAGTTTGCTTAGCATACTGTGTATTCTCTTATTCTCAACAGTCAGTAATATGTTCTACAATGTCGTAACATTCTATTATTTAATCTGATTTACACAGTAGTAGATGCACGATATCAAATATTAGACACTTGCTATAAAAAAACCCTAAAATATAATGTAGCCTTTGAAGACTATATCTTACCTTTTGCAGGTTTTGTATCCATTTTCAAGAGAGTGATCAAGGTAATAACCACCACTACAGGACTGCACACATCTCCCATCCTCCAAAAAATAACCTTCTGTGCAGTTTATGCAAGCATCTGCTCCTGAGCCTTAAAGCCAAGAGAAAACACACTGTAACACATTGACACATTCTCAATATAGCCTGGATAACAGACAGCAGCTCTAACTGTAACAAAACATCTGCTCATCATAGGTTATTGGACATATATATTCTTGTTGCTTTACACCTTTTCCTACATGTACTGCAAACTATATCAGTTTGCAACAAAAGATAAATATAGCAGTAATCCTGACATATTTTTTTCTGAGAAAAAAATTATTTCTATAGCTAGGAATTACAAGCAAAGATAGCTAGTGAGTATATGTGTACTTTTCAGCTAGAACGTTTATATTTTTATGTCAACAGGAAGAAACCTACTTTACTCAGAGATCTATTAAAGAACCTCCAAGGCTTAACTTTTCATTTACAAGCCAATCATCATACTGTATTTGGAAACGTGATGTAATATTGCCCAAAGGACAAAATGATTAAGTGAAGTCAAATGTCACTGAGGTACCTGCACATGTTGCACAGGAACGGTGACACGGTTCACATTCCCTGCCATTGTGATATTTTCCTTCTTCACAGCGGACTGCACATCTGGATCCATATAAACTAGTGCAAAAGTACAAATTAGACTGTTTAATATTGACCAGCTAACAGCAAGTAAGGAGGGAGGATGATGATCAGACTCAGAAACCTCTAAAGTATTCTGCAATGTAGGTCTCTTTTGAAATTCTGTTAATAAAAGTTCAGCTGAAATAATAGTATCCTACTGTACAATTACACAGCTTCTTGTAGCAAACAGTACACAGTACTATAGGACAGGAAGTGAAGAAGAATGTCAAATCTAAGGGAAAGTGCAAAGAAAATTCAAGTATGCAGAATGTAATTACCCAAATGGAACTTGGTCTGGGGTCAGTACCACTACACTTAAAAACATGCAAAGCAATTTGTTCCCAAGAACTTAAACTTTGCCTGAAAGACATCAAGACCAGTGGTGTCCCCTAATGCCATGTTAAAGTACTAACACATACGAACTCAGTGTGAAGAATGCCACTTACTGCAGCACAAAGATTTCCCTTTGTAAAGGTCCTGAGTTTGCATGTGAACTGGGACCCTTCAGTTCATGCCCGCTGCATCCACACAGGGGAATTACAGCCTAGTACTATGGTATGCACTGCTATTCACTCCTCCTTAGTCCAAACTGCTGGACAGTGTGACATGCCCCTCGGCTTGCAGAAAGCTGTCTCCAATCAAATAGTATTTGCAAACCACTACTTTGCATCATTCCATTCACATAAATGAAATCTTTATTTCAAAGTGTAGTTGGAATTATTGAGTTTAATTTCCCTACAATTAAAAGGATCAATACCTTGAGTGCTAAGAACTTTGAGAGCCCACTGAAATCAATGGGAACTTAAAGGCATTTGGCTCCTTGCAGGATTAAACCTATCATCAGCTGAACAAAAACCCTAGATCCAAATTAACTTTGGGAGGGCCTGAAATCTTGATTTGAATCCAGAATTTGCAGCCTGTGTTCCATGTTTAATTTGAATTTTAGTCTTTGGAATGGCTATCCACAGAACAAATAGACAACTGTAATCCAGGTACTCTTTAAAAATTTTCTCTTGAGATTTCTTCCTTCTTTATTTCAGGGTGGGCTTTATTTGGTCCTTTGAAGAGACGGTCTTTCCTGTCACATTGCCTAAGCTATAGTGAGGCTGGCATTCTTTTGGCTCTTTCATTCTTTGAGTTTGACCACTTGGCTCCTTTTTTCCATGGTTCTACAAGCTGCTGTACATATTTCCTGGCAGGGTATGTGTTGTGAGTTCAATAAGCCTACCTTTTATGCTCCAGGAAACCTGTTAGATACTCTCTCCTACAAACCTGTAACCTTGGCTCTTCCACCGGGCCGCCTGATATAGCTATGAAAAGTCTCCACACTGTTGCTTTGCTAAGCTGATGTCTGCCTGAGTTCACCAGTTTGTATCATTTTAAAGAGACTTGCACCAGACCAACTTGAGGAGGTATAAGTGTGGCTATTAAAATTAGTCAAAAACATAAAAGGCAAAACTTAGGAAAATTTCCTGAAATTGTCCTCGAGATTTTCACATTTCCACCCACAACTGTTTACAGGCCTGGAATAAGAGGGTGTAGTTACATGAATTAATAATACTATACATTTCCATAAGAAGATCTCAACATGCTCTACAGCCATGAATTTACCAATAGCCTCACAGCACTCCGGTGAGGGAAATAAATATCACCCCCATTTTACAGAGGGTTTAGATGTGCTGGGGCCTTGGCTTGAGCTGATGCCTTCCCTCCCTCAGATCAAGCCTTCTCTCTAAGGAGCGTCATTTTTTAGTGAGTGATAAACCACATCACTGAAGACGGAACAATGCAGGTGGTTGAAAAATCTAAATGCACCATGGGTACATAGACAGTGAGAAGTGGCTTTACCATGTGAAAAATAAATTGGGCAAAGACATTCAAGGAAACTAATTATAATGGTCAGCTTGCACGAACTCAAAGACTGTAATCTATTTTGACACAAGGTACATGTCCAATACTAAAACAATTAAGGATCATCCTTATTCTAAACAAGTCTCAGATACAGATTTTGACTTCAATTTTTTGTGGCATAAACCCAGCATACAATCCCTTACAAACTCTATAGGGATTTTTGACCCTCTCCACTTGGATCAAAAGGCCACTCAATTCACATGGAAGTAAAAATGTGTGCTGCTGCTGCTTTACCTATCAGTTTCAGAAATGATTAAGTCCCCCTACCAAGAAAAAATAACCACTGCTGTTTAATATATGGGCACACCATATCGTAATGGAATTGAGCCTGAGGTACTTAAGATAAGTGAATGATTGGATGTATGAAGAGACACAATAAAGATAAGGAAATAGTTTCTAACTATCACAGGAATGAATCAGAAGGATTAATACAATTCATCAGTTTCACTTCTAAAATAATCCTTGACTGCCACACTGTAGGTCAAAAAAGTGAAGAACATAGCTTTTACATGGCTACAACTTTCATTTTGCCTGCAGTTAAACATTTTTTAAAATTCATTGTTAGCCAAGATGGCTTATGATGGCACAAGAAAGTATTAAATTACAGCACAAACAGCAATAGAACACATAAATGGAGGCCCCGTCAAGGTTAAATAGTAATATTATGTAAGTCTCTTTGATGTATGTCCATAGACTCAGGAAGTCTCTTTGGCTATTGTGTGCAGTGAAATCCATCATATCCTTACCTTAGGCCATGTCTGCACTCTGTGCAACTTTGGGATTCAGCACATGTCTTACAGTTCTCACTGCATTTCCGGCAAACAATCTTATCTGCAAAGGAAAAAAGAAAAACAGCCCAGAAAACCCTGGTCAATCATGTTTAATAAAATTATATGGATATATTCCATTGTTCCATTTCTTGTGCCCAGGTAAAAAAGCAATGAAGTAGAAAGCAAGAATAAAATTAAATAGCTAAAGTGCTACTTATATATTGACCTTCTCCATCAAACATCAAATGCTTTCAGTTATTTCTAAATATTTAAAATAACATCCTATTCCTTTGAAAAATAATATGCTTTGAGATTGTAAAAACACTTACATGAATACACTTGCTTAAATTGTGTTTTTACTACTGACTCATGCAATCTTTTTCAAATAATAGGAAAAATACTAAATTCATGCAAATAAGAGTTTCTACATGAATTGCTCATGCAAAGTGACCTACTAAGCTTTGTGTAATTGTCTTTTAGATCATTTAAGCAAACTGACTTTCCTAATTTCATTTTTTTGGGGTTCAAGGATGCCTGATTGCACTTTTCTGATCTTATCAAACCTAAGCAACATATTACTGTTCTCTTTACCCCAGCCGTAAGACCTAAAGAGCCCACGTTCCTCCACACATTTACACTTCTTACTCTGGAAGTTCTGTATCATGGACACCAACTTTCTACCTGAAAAGGGCTGTGTGAGAATCCCATCTAACTCCACATTCTCTTTTATCCTGCACCTTGATCAGGCAGAGGAGCCATTGTGGTAGAAAGAAATACTACTACTTAGCTTCATTTCTTTCATTTTCACTTTAAAAGAACTAATACTATATCTGCCCCTGCTACACCTGTTTATGAGTATACTGCTTCACAGTACTGCAAGCAGGAGACACTGGTCCCAGTTCAGCAAAGCTCTTAAGCACATACGGTAATTATCTTTAAGGATATGCCTAAATCCCTGGGATTAAATATTTTAAAGGATCAGGGCCTAGGCTGGGAATTAAGACTGGGGACGCTGCATGGTCATCCATAGGTGGGAATTAAAGCCAGGTCTCCCACATGGCAGTGTATGTTACTGCTACTGCATCATTGCATCGCTGCAGATATTAAACGTCTGCCAAATTTTGCCCATTGTTGTGCAGCTTTGTTAAGAGTTGAGGACAGAGCCTCTACCTTCCTTAGCATACCAATGTAGCAGCAGAGCAGCATGCCCGTCTGGCTCTCACATGCCCACTGGTTTACCAGGGAAGCATAGTGTCCCATTAGGAAGTAATGTTTAGTATGTGCTGGAGATGAGCACATGCGTCAAGAAGATGCATTCTTCCACATGTTCCCCCACCACATAGTGGATCTACTATTGTAGAGGGACAAGTGTTGCTCTGCTACCTCCACTTCATAGTCAGAAAGAGGAAGGGAAGGATTTTGTCATGTACCACTAAGCATGATTTTCAAGAGCTAATATTCAAAGCAGAATCCAGTTGTAGTTTTGAAAGACACACTTGATCAAGATTGGTTCCCTACAATTTCATAAAAGGAATGAGATTTAGAAAAGAGACAAATGTATCAAAATACACTTTTTATCTTAAAAACTACTCCCTGACCTCCTCAAACAACCCAGCCCAAATACTGGAAACCCAAAGAAATAAGCAGGAGAAAATACTGACTTTTGTCAAGGTAAAATCCATCTGGGCAGCTGGTAATACAGACGTTGGATTCTTCATTTAGATAGAAACCGGATTTACAGCTCAGGCATTGGTCACTGTGGCTTCCAACACAGGTTTCACAATTGGGTGAGCATTTTTTACAGCGTTTCTTGTCTACATTATAGTGACCAGGTGGGCAGTTTGGAACACAGATCCTGCATTGTGCAGTGAAGAAAAGGCAGTCTCATTACTGATGTAAACCCACCACCCTATAGCAGAGGTCCCCATACTGTGTGGCGCGCCCCACCTAGGGAGCACAGAGGAACCTTCGGAGGCGGGGGTGTGGGCCAGTCCCTACAGAGGGCAGGGAGGGAGCACCACCCAGCCCCTCTCCACCCCCAGCTCTGCTCTGGTTCTGAATGCAGCTGCATCTCCAGCTCCCAGCCCCACCCCCAGCTGAGACCCCAACCTCAGTCCCCTTACCCCATACCCATCCACCCCGGTCCTGGCAGAGGCGGGGGGACGCAGACCATTTACATCTGCCCCAAGCTTGCCCAAGCCCAGTGACTGATGCTATATACTAGTTATGCTGGTTCTAATTTTGTTTTTATGTTCATTTTGTTAAAAAATAGTCACAGGATGGTTGAATAATCAGGAAATGGTGTTTGAAGGATCTACATTACATTCAAATTAGTAGGACTTTCCTCTAACTCCTATGCAAATTTGTAAAATAAACTAAAGGTAAGAGAAATTATTCCATATCCTGTAGAAAGGGGAAAAGGAGGGAGATATTAAGATAAAAATAGAACAAGGGATGATATATAAAGATGTTTTTTTCTTTCTTACCGTGTGTTGTTTTTAGATTTGTAGTAATAGTGTAGACAATCAGTACAGTGGTCTGGTCCTGGCCCATCACACCCTACTTTACTGCATTCTGCATTGCATGGACCTTTAATAAATTCAAAAATCAAAGGAGGGGAGAAATTACACATCTATATTTGCTACTCTGTGGTCCTTACAAAATATTGCTATAACGCAGAGTATAATTACCCCAGTTCCCTATATGGACTCAGTGGCTAGCTACAGTGAAGCTAACACAGCATCTAACACAGACTTATCAGATACTATTTGTGGAGTCAAATAGATGCTGTCATAATAAATAAATCATTTAAATTTTTCGTCACTGATGCCCGAAGGTCCCTGAGTCCCTTAACAAAGACTAACAACATCATTTATCATAAATAGTTCTGTGTGCCCACATAAATCTAAGATTGGGAGCAAACAGTATATGGTAGGCTATCACTAGCAGATTGTTGTTAATAATTAAATAAGAGTACTGGGGCCCTGTTGTTCACAATATCATTACAATATTTTTCATATGAACTTTAACTCTGAAAGTTGGAGAATTGATAGTTAGGATTCTCCACGTAACCTTAACTCTGACCTCATCTTCTTGCTAACAGCCTCTTACTGCATAGCAACTAGATGCTAGTAATGACCACTATCTTGTGGTGCAGTTTCTTCATAATTTCAGAAGAGGATGTGGGTAGATGATGATTATATAATGGTGTGGTATCTTAGAACCAGGGGAAGTTGAAAAAAGGAGATATATTAATGAAAAATGGCATCTTCCAGTGGCTTCATAGGTTAGAGAGCAGTTGAGGTCACTTGGGCTGTATGGCTTATGGTGGAATTTTGGATGTAATTTTTGGAATGTGTAGGCAAGATAATGGACTAGATTTCAGTGTATTGTCTCTCTAAATCAGCAGCTGAAGCGGGTCTTTTTGAGTCTTTTGCCTATATATAGTGTTTATTTTGTAGGTCTGTATTTACATTTTGGGAAGGCAGAGTTTGTGGTCCACACTGGCAATGTGAATGTTATACAGTGGTTTGGTGTTTATAACTAATACCATCAAAAGTGATTAGCAGATTAAATATTATCATTATGGAAAGCTGCTCAATAACCATCATATGCCAATCCCACCTCCATGCCATATTGATGCCTGAAGCCAGAATAGAAAAAAAATAAAATAAAAAGTAAAATCTCAGTCTGTCCAGGTGATTCTAGAGTGGCTCAATCACCTTCCAAAATAAAGAGAGGTTCAAGAGTGAGTGGAGAATGGAAAAGTTTTCAGTATAATGCTGTCATCTTGGGGCTGGCACTCTACCTTTAGACAGGGAGATATTGATCACAGAATCATCCAATCAAATATTACCCAGCTAATGGCCTTCAAAGTTCCTTTTCACACATAATGGGCCTAAGTGCTTTCAGAACGCTCTAGACATTGTTGGAATAGATAATGTCACACCCAAACAGGACAGCCCCACAGACTTGTTGCCTTCTTGCTCTGACACTATTGACTGATGCCAGAAAGACTAGTTATAATAAAAGATTCAATGAAGACAATGGACAATTTTTCATTGTCTCTCCTGACACAATGTAGATGATACCATCCCGAACAGCTGTTCATATATACTGCTGGGGAATTCTTCACCGTGCATATTCATCATGAAATATACCATATGTACTTGCCATGCTTAAAAAAAATCAGAATTAAAAAGATTTATGTGCAACTTTAAATAACAAGTCACATGACTCGTATCTTAATCAAAACTCTTAACTGAAGTCCCACCACTCCCATTCCTCATGGGAAAAACCTCAGTGCAAAAGCTTTTTACTAGAGCTTTGGTTGGCATCATGCTTTTGATCTTAGAAAGTTCATTTTCCTGCATGTAATTATTCTAAAGCTTGCATGTTTATATTTATTACAATTCTAACTTATGAAAAGAAGTTTTATAAACACACATACAAACTTCCTCTTCAATGCAGAGAAAGGGAAAGGCAGATCAAAGTAACTGTGCAAGTTATGTTTTATTCAATTGCTTTGGTTATTTTTGTTGTTTATTATTTGTTTCCAGAATCATCCACATGGTGCTAAGTGGCTTCCAAACAAACAAAAACAAAAAGGCACAATTCCTGCTTCCAAGATCTTAGCGTCTAATTAGGGAATGCAAGTAGACAGAAGAAGGAAGAATAGAGTATAGGGAAGTGGGAAACATCAAACAATTAAGGTGGCTAGGCAGTGACGTTCTGACAGTACAATGGCACATACAGTGTGCCAAATTAGTCCTCAACCCTATTATACATGAGGTAAAGTAAATGAATGATTCCTCGAGATGTAGACTCCAACTCACCTGCATAGTCATCTGTCCCATAGTCTTCTGTAGGGTCTTCGACTGGACTGGAGCGCACTCGTTCCACTTTGGGAAAATCGTTTCTTGGCGAGTAAGGCTGGATGGATGTCCCATAAAGAACTAAGGACCATTCTTTCAATTTGCCTAGCAGTCAAATATTTAAAGCATAATCTTAGAAATTACTTACATCCTCTCTTTCTCTCTCTCATGTGGATTTTGATACTGATCATGTGAAATTGTGAATGAATATGAGTGAGTCTGAGCCCTTGCTTTATCTGTGTCCTCGTGCAGGACATAGTGAGACAGAGATAATGCAGTTTTAGCTTCAGTATAAATCCAAACCAGCTCACCTTTCTAAATCAGTTTTTCATACATCGGATCTAACACCACATCAACCTCTTCCAATTCTAATAAAAGACTACTTAAATACTCCATGCTTGCTTCAATAAAAAAATATAAATAGTTTTCATATAAGGGGTGAAATCCTGACCCTGAAATCAATGGGAAAACTCATATGGACTTCAATGAGGCAAGTTTTCATTCCACATTTCACTTTCCTTCAGAACACTAGTAAACCAACTTTTCTTTTTTATTATTCTTAATCTGTCAATTAATTAGTTGCACAGTCGATGGGATTCCAGTTTATTAAGGGGGTTGATTTTCTTATAATACCCAATGAGTAACTCCTACTGGCTTTAATGGAAGTCTACTAATGCACACTGAGGGAAGAAAAACTCTCCTAACTTATCAAAATCTCTGTAGTAAAACTTCCATGTCATCCTCTGAAAACAACACCATCAGTGAAAACCCATACTATAAAATTAAAACATGGAAAATAAGTTTGGCCACACTGCTCCCTTCATTGTATTTGCCCACAGTAAAAATCACTATACAATTTAGCCCAAGTCAGCATAATTGTCGGTCTCTCATTATGAAAGGCTTGGGACTGAAATAGGTCAGCAGTGAATATTTGAAAGAGTCCTGCAGCTACGTTTCGTGGTGGGCTGTTCTTTAGTCTAATTGCTCTTCCCTCGGAGCAACTTTTTTCAGAAGTTTAAATCAAATTAACCTTTCTTTAAAGAGATCACTCCTACTACATATATGGTAAAATTCAAATAAATTTACCCTCTCCTTTCTATTAAATGCTCTCCACAATTTGTTTTGGGCTTTAATATTCTCCTTTGCCTGTGTATTTTTAAACTATAGAAGTTAAGTTCCATTAACTTTTACTAAATCCTAGTTCTCTTTCTGTATTCTCCCAATTTTGTTGCTGTCCTCTAGTGAGGTACCCAAATTATATGCCCTATTACCTCTCTGATTTTACATTCAACGCCTAAAATTAAAGCAACAAGAACAGAGGTTTTCCTAAGGTGACTGGCTGATGGGAGGTGATCACTCATTTTCTTGTCAATTGTTATATTTTCAGACTAAAGATTGTTGTGAAATAGTACCTGTCTCAGTCAACCCAGTATTGCCTACTGTTTGATTTTCAGCCTGATTTGATAGAAATCCTTTATCTGATGTTATTTTGTGCTCTCTTGATAGATTATAAGGCTGGAAAAGGTCATGGGCCTATAGTCTAACCTATTGCATCACAATTCTTGCACTGAGCCCAACAACTTGTGGTTGAGGTAGAGCATATCTTTTAGAAAGACATCCAACCTTGATTTAAAGACTTCAAGTGATGGAGAACTTACCACATCTCTTGGTAGGGTGTTCTAATGGTTAATTACCCTACTAGTGATAAAATGTGTACCTTATTTCCAGTATGAATTTTTCTAGCTTCACCTCCCAGCCACTTGCCTTTGTCTGCTAGATTAAAGAGCCCTGTAGTATCAGACATCATCTCCCTGTATAAGATCATGCTGAAGTGGCCCCTGAACCTTCTATAGATCAAACACCTTTAATCTCTGCTTATAAACCCCAGGATCACATTGCCCCTTGTAACCCCAGCATGTAATCCTTGTCAGAGCCACAGCTTTCCAGTCCCCCAGCCTGTAATTATGGCCTACGTTTTAAGATGTATGACCTTGCATTTGGCTGTAATAAACTGGATGCAGTCAAATAATGTGTTTTACTAACAGATCTAGACCACCCTGCCCTCATCATTTAATTCTTCACCAATCTTTGTCACCTGCAAACTTTATAAGCAATGATTTTATAATTTTTTCCAGATCATTGACAAAAATATTGGTCCAAGAACCAATTTCTGCAGGACCCCACTAGAAATACTCCACTTATTTTTGCTGCCCATGCATGGAATCTGGAAGGATTTTTCTCCGAGATCAGATTGGCAGAGACGCTTTGTTTTTTTCACCTTCATCTGCAACATGAGGCACAGATCAATTGTTGGTCTGATCTACAATAAATGGTGGATTCTCTGTAACTTGAAGTCTTTAAATCAAGATTTGAGGACTTCAGTAACTCAGCCAGAGGTTATGGGCCTGTTACAGGAGTGGGTGGTCAGGTTCCGTGGCCTGTAATCTTCAGAAGGTCAGACTAGATGATCATGATGGTCCCTTCTGGCCTTAAAGTCTGAATCTGAGTCCTACTGAAGCTACCATTCTTGGACTTTGCATGCATGCAGTGGTCTACACGAGCACATCTATTTACAGGATCTGGGCCTTGAACTTGTTTCTTAATTAAACAAGTGGAGGGGAGAGTAATGCAGGCGTTACCATGGGAGTAGTTTCCTTTTAAAGACTAGTTCAGTCGATAAATTGAGAAAATCCATGGAATTCGCCAGCATGTAAATGAAGTCTGCTTCAAGGCAGGTTTAATTTGCAGAATGAAAATACACACACATACACAGACACACACTTTTATAACAAAGATACAAACCATACACATTTGAGCCAAAATATTTGTTTTGGCTTATTCCACCATTTAGTCTGGCTAGCACAGTCTCTTTCCCTCCTTATATTTAGTCCATAACAAAGAGATCCCTAGTTGTATGTGTAAGAGAAACAGTATATCACAGTGTTTCATAGACAGCATATGTCTGCACTTTGCCCCATAAATTCTGCTGAATTAAATGCAGAAATAACATACGTTGTTTTTTATAAACTGGATGCTGCTTTTCTTTATGGCTAACAGATGTGACGATACCTTGCCCAATGCTAGGTTCTGATGACATCAGAAACATTACATGGGTTGGCCATTTGTTCACATTTTGAGACAGGAAAACTGTAGTTATTAATTATAAAACTTTTTGATAGCTAAACAAGTATTTACAGACCTGCAGAAATACAAAACACATATGGTGGGGATAGCAGTGTGATCAATCGCAGACTATGGTGATAAACTGGGTAACTATCATAGATTGTACTGATGCACCTTTGCTTACTTCACACTCTACCCACTGATCTATCACTGCCAGGACAAAGTCAAACATCTGAGTTTTTCCTTGGCTAACATATGCCAGGCATTAACACATCTTTTCTGAACAGGAATGCTATTGGACAGTTTCCATTATGAGGCAAGTACGACTCTGGATGCTAAGAGTAAATGATGCTAAAGAGGACAAAAAGAACCAGGCCTGAATTCTCCACTGTCCTGGATCCTGTGTTGTCACTTACATGCGTGCGTGTGAATGCAGAGTGGGTGTCTAACATTGATATTTGGGTCTGGTGGTGTTTTACACCCATCTTGCAGAGGTGTAAATGACTACATAAGGTTCAAGGCAGTGAAGAATCACTTCTCCAGGTCCAGATTCTCAGCTGTACCCACTAACCACTGGGTGCATCTGAAGATATGGGGCATGATTTCCCTTTGGCATGATTCCTGACAGTTTAGAGAAGCCTCTGGACTTCTTTAAACTATGCTGGTTAACTATGGCCCCAGGGGCTGATATACCAGCTGTGGACTTCTACAGCTGGGTATTGGAGGAGACGGCTATGATAGCTCTGTGCCAGCTGCCAGAGAAATCCTCAGCTGGGTAGGTCTACTGCATTTACAACTTCTTTGCATCACATGAGCTAGATCGTCACCAGCTGTAAATCCTCATTGCTCGATTGAAATCAGTAGAGCTCTGCCAATGTACACCACTTGAAGATCTAGCTCCATATGACAAGCCACTAATTGTGCTGCAGTTCATACAATATAAAGTATTGAAATCAACAGGACTACTCATTCAAGCTAGAGTTGGCAGGAACAGGTCCTTAAAGAGTATTAGGTATTAGAACTAATGTAAGTCCTATATAAAATTTGGTGGAACTCAATCCTCTCTTTAGCTTGTCCCCTTTTCACTGCCCTGGTAGCATAAAGGGGCTATAACTGGACTCTGGAGAATAGCCCCTCTATAAGGAACTGGTGGAGAACTACCGAAGTGGCTCTATGCCAGCCCTCGCTCAGGCTCTAGCATAGGGAGCATGCCACAGCAGAGAGGGAGGGAGGTGGCTGGAATGCATTGCTCTTTGCTGTACTTGGCTGGGGGATGACTCTTAGGGTGCTGTTGCAAGCTGCTCTAACCAATTCCTTGGAGTAAGGCAGGCCTCTGGCTACCCCAAGAATAAATTTGGTAACATTAAAATATTGATGAAGTTGCCAACCATTGACTTTATAGGCTTCCTTTTTAATAACCTGATGAAAGGAGGAACTCCATTGAAGCCAATGGAATGACACCAGTGAAAATTGGTGTGAGAAGATAATCAGACCAGAGATAGTTGAGTGATGACTGAAAAACTGAAGAAGACTGTATTTCGCTCCATGCCTCTAGAGTGCTGTACCCAAGCCCTTCAAAACTGGGTGCCTAAAGTTAGTCTTCTAAATCCATAAATCCAGCTGGCAAGAAGGAACTGAGGGGATGGCGGGTCGGCAGGGCCCTATATTGAGCGCCATAAAGGCGTGACCCCAGGGGGCACCCAGGTCGACCCAACGGATGCTGCTAGGGGAAACACCTAATTAGAATTGACATGAGCAACCACTCGAAGAAGAAGGTGTAGTATTCCAATATAAGTATCTTAAGACAAATCCAATTTCAACCAAGAGAGAAAAAAACACTGTTCCAGTCCACAGGACAAAAGGCCATCTCTACATCTGATAACAAAACTACTAATGGGACTTTCTGACAAGGCTGAATTTGGAGATATTTAATATGCTTATGTTATAAGCCACAAACTTTTTTACAAAATCAATTTTAAATATATAATTTTCAAGCCTCGTAGCTAGTGCTTTATTCTTTTCCTGTGTACTGGTGATATGAAGGTGGCCATCATATTTGGTAAAAGCAGTTTAGATTTTTGAGTGTCATTATATATTTTCTAATTCAGAAACAAGTGTATTTTTAATTGTTTAAAAATAAAATTCTGGTGTTAAACTATCAAGAATATATTTGTATGGCTTCATATATTTTATCTTGAGTATCAGACATATCTTATTCTGGCAATTTAGGATTGATTTTAGGTAAATCAATTAAAAAAATCTTGAATGGTTTGTGAGTTTACTTAGTTTTCTGAAGGGTAATATATTTTGTTGTCTTCATAGAATTCTAAACCAACATGCCTAGTGGCAATGTTATGGTGACCCTGATCAGATTTTAGATAGTTAATCTTGAATTTTTATACATTTTTTAAATGTCACAGGCTAGTCATCACTCAGATTTTTCCACCTTTATTGCAATGTTGTTCACTGAGTTGATTCTCAGTGTTTTCAATCGTACTATAAGTGTTAATTTAGCTTCACTGTTACATAATTATCAATACATTCTTTGTACTCTAACTCTTGTGACCATTTTTAGTTTAGATTTCTTGCTGATGTAATTTTTCTTCTTCAATATTTTTTATTGAAATCAATCTTGACAGAAATTAAACGCCCTCAGACAACTGGTTTGAGGGCATCTCGTTTATTTTGATGTGAGATATCAAGAGAAGCATTCTACTCTATATTCATTAATATCGGTGCTACTTTTTTGTTTGCAGTATATCTTTTTGAAAATGAGGCTTAGGGATGAGATTTTTTCAGAATACTTAAGATACTCATCTCACATTGCAAGTCAATGGGGACTGGCACCTAACTCTCTTGGGCCCCTCTGAAAATTCTAACCTAAATCTTCATTTATTTGATCTATCTGTATTGATTTTTTTTGATATTTGCATATACTAGTGTAAGATCAGACCACATATTGGGACCTATGTGTGGAACAGGAATTATAAGCAGGAGATCTTCTGAGGCTAAAAACATATCTAACCAAGAATAGGATTCAAAAGCGGGAAAATAAAAAGGTCGGGGATACTTTGTCTTGTGTATGGCAGCACAAAGAAACCTCAAAGCAGGTGTAGAGGCTAAGGGAGGCTCACCCCAGTATGGTGTGTGTGTGTGTGGATTCTCCAGTGGTGGAGAACTGATCAAGGCCTTTTCCCTCCTTGTAGCTGGCGCAGTGAGCATGGATTGGAGAAAGTGTGTGGACAGAGATTGCTAGCAGTTTTATCAGCTACAATGAGGGGAGTGGCCTTCATCAGCCTGATGCAAAGGTGGCTCAGTTTGTACATGCCATTGTGTTAACTGCCTTAAAAATGCAGGCATGCAACTGTACATACCAAGCTTGGGCTTCTCCTTCTGAAAATTTGTCTCTAAATCCCTTTGTATTTTCAGACACTGACTCTTGGCTGCCAAAACTCACAAGCCTGGTGTGGTCTAGCTGTGGAGTGCAACTTATACCTTGAGATGGCAAGTTTTCACATGGTGGGGATAAAGGAGGTGGTAGTTTGCCCCCAAGAACACTGCATTGTTGCCATTCTTTCCACACAAACCAGAAGTAGGTTCATGGTAAGAAGGAGCTACTGGTCTCAGAAGACAAGTAATAAAAGTGTGGAAGTGAAGCACAACAAATAGAAGGGAGTCAAATTCTGCCTCAATTCTCTGCAATCCCATTGAAATCAGTGTGTCTGCTCAAGTGTAAATGAGGGCAGGAATTAGCCCAAGTACTGCATGCAACTGAACATATTCTTCTGGACCACTGAGCCTAACTAAAGGATGGATTCATACCTGGAGACTTGAAACTTCTCAGCTGAGATGGGGTATCATGAATCTCCAACTTCCAGTCACCTGCTGCTTTTTCACCCCAGCAATGAGTAGTCATGAACTCCCAGTTTTTAAAACCTTCTGTGGAATGATCAAATAACCTAAGATAAAGCAATAAAGTATTACTATATACACAGAAGAACAAGAAAATAAATCCTTGCCTTCATCGGTGATCCTCAACTCTCGTGTGCCCACTCACAAATGAAGTATATTTAAACTAATTAGTGTATCTAATCTAAGCATTTATACTGAATTTATCACCATGGTTTTGCAGCACCTATTTCAAACATATCTGATGGGACCATTTTGTATATAACAAGTCAATGGGGGAGGAAGGACAATTCTTCTATATGCTGTTGCTTCATATAATGAAAGAGAGAATGAGAGTTTATATACTGCAAATTAAAATTGCCAGTGCAATTTAATAAAATTCACATCCTGAAAAAGTACACACTGAACACAACTACCTTTCCTTTGTTCTAAAAGCGTGACCCAGATACAAACATCATTTTTTGAGTGGAAAGTTTTCTTTTTTCCAGTTTTGGGTTGAAATACTGAACAGGGGGTTACGAAAATAAGAAATACTAGGTGAGCAATACAACATGAGCAGTGGGGGCCAGGAGAGTTTCAGTACTCATGATGCTTGTGAACAGAACAAAGGTAACTGAGACATTGGTGTATCGAACTTCAAATGATTTAAGTATTGCTATATCCAAAAGTTTGACAGAGTCTAGTTTTGCTTGAACTAATTGGCATATGATGATTTCGTCTTACTAACACTTTTACAGTAATTTCATTACTTAGGGCTTGGATGAAGAGGTTGGAGCTTGGGTCTGAAATACAGTGCGTTTTAGTAGAGGGACCCAGTGTAGAGTCTGCAATCTGATGCTGATCAGTGGGGAGGTCTGGCCCAAGATTTTATTGCCTAAGACTGGAATTTATTAATGAGATTTTGAAAAGACACAAGAGAGCATGCACTTTTGTTCAGTGTTAACAGTATGTTGCCTGGTGCCCCAAAGCTATCGATGAGAGATTCACTGGAGTAGAGACTGCTGCCTCATAAATGGTACAGTTCAGCTTTGGAAGAATATATACAATTTCAGATCTCTCTCTCCCTTTCCTGGAAACACACACATACACCCAGATTCACAAATACTGTGTTTAGCTATATATTTTTATTCACACTCTTTATGTATGGAGATTCCATGGCTCACATCTGTGCTTAAGTATATTTCATAAAATTAGATTTGTACACTAGCTGACTACTGGCATAGCACCATTGTTGATTCAGTGGATTTACCACAATTTTCTCTTAAAAAGAGAAAAACCTATTCATACAAATGTTTAAAAAATCCCAAACAAACCAAGCAAACCTTTAAATCACTTGACTCTTTCTTGTAGTTTCTAAGTGTATTTTCAGCCTCTTTTTTTTTTAAAAAAAGTTGTGAATACAATGTGCATGTCACAGAATTTGTACTAGCAGAGAATTTGGCCCATTCTATGTGATTATCAATTTAGTTATCCGAGTACAACAGATTTTGCAAACAAATGTTTGCTAGTATAGCATACACCATGTACTGCAGTGATCCAGATTACCTATCCAGTTATCATTCCACACACACATACTGGGTAGGTTCAATTTAAATGATTGCAAAAATTGTTTTCAACAGACTTAATACAGTTCACAGAATATCAGGGTTGAAAGGCACCTCAGGAGATCATTTAGACCAACCCCCTGCTCAAAGCAGGACCCATCCCCAGACAGATTTTTACCCCAGTTCCCTAAATAGCCCCTCAAGGATTGAACTCACAACCCTGGGTTTAGCAGGACAATGCTCAAACCACTGAACTATCCTTCCATGCAATATTTTACAGGAACTCAGTAAACAACTCATACTACCACAATACCTTATTTTTAAACTGTGTGTCAGTCAGTCAAGGCAGCAACAGTCCTCTCTACTGTTATGGCAACTAAATTACATAGCATTATATAAATACCATGTAATTATTTTAAAAATTCTATATTTATTGAGATTTAAGTCACATACATTTCACAGAGACATGTCACAGATATTTACTACCTATTTTTACCAAGGACTAGTACAAGATTTTCCACAGCATTTGTGTTTCAGAGGAGGTTATAATCTACTTTTCAACCTTGTCCTCAGATCAGTGGCAATTACATTTTCAGTCACCTCAGATGTTTGGTCTCCATATTGTTTGCTTATTTAAATTCTATCCAAAATGTGGTATTTAAAAATGTGATTAGATTTTTACTCTTATCTAAAACCACAGTCACTTTTGGGTGCAAAAATGAGACTTTGTCCCAGATGTACAATAATATCTCTAATTAAAATTTACTACAGAATTCTACATTAATGCTGTAAGCAGTCAAGTTTTGGATCATTATTGGGGAATAGTTTAGTACTGTTTCTATGGCATGGGCTAGTTTTTGGAATGAACAGATTACCAATCTCCTATTGGAAAGGTACAGTACTTATCAAATAGGGGTTTAAATGGTATTTTTCTATTTCATTCTCACCTGTTCTTAAAAATGAACACACTGTCAACAAGCCACAGGAAAACATCACAAGAGTCAGTGAAGAAAAAGTGTTTGCAAGGAGTAAAATGGTGAGTTTGAGTTTGTAAAAGGCTGAGTTCATACAGCCTAGGCCCAGCTGTGCATGTGTTATATGCGCTCTCCTGTATGAGCATTATTATGCAGATCTGCATATTTACTTGGGTCTTTTACATAAAGGAGAGTGTAGGTGGCATACCAAGATGTCCATGTCTTTCTCATATAAGGGTGGTAAGCACTGAAGCATATATCTAAATCGACTGAAACATTTACCAGAAAGTTAGGATGAACTTTTCTCTCACACAAAAAGAAATCATACAACTGAGTGGGATTTTTTTTTTTTTAATGGGCAGTGATTCATTAAAACCCAGCTCATACTTTTTCATGTGTCAGGTGGATTCAGTTACTAGGTCATACTTCATACTAAGGCTATATTTATGAATAGTTTACAAAGAATTAGTAAATGATTGGCTAATCAACTGTTATAGATTATTGCAGAGTCCAATAGTTCAATGGGTGGCTTATAGCCATGTACAACAATGATAGATGTGCTTTTTAACCACTATAACACCTCTACTCATGCCTGTAACATACATCTAACATTAACTAATCACTCATGAACCTCTATAAACTATTTATTAATGTAATTTTAATATAAAGTGGGACCAGTTGCCTAAGTACCCATGTGAACCTTGGTGATACCAATATGGCCAAGATAGGTTGGATATGGCAGTCCTGACTTCCTGTACTAAGAGATGGAACATCTATGTGCTGAAAAGGAACATGTCCAGTATTAAATTAATTTTAAACTGAAAAATAATGGGTCTCTTTGAGAAATTATATAATACACATGTGTAGGTGTGTACTGTACATGAATATATATTCCTACCCACACACATACATACGTAGAAAGTATACTCAAATAATTATTTCCTTAAAACAAGATCATCTTGTTGAAATGTGCAGGTGTCTCTTTCTACCACCCTCACCACTAACAATTGTATCTCCTCTCCATTTAACAGCATAATGAGAAACCGAAATATTCATCTGTAATTAAATTTTAGAAATAGAGGCAGGTACTTTCAATCACATTCCACAACTGGGAACATAGGGTTAGCCCCTCACAGTTACATCTACAAGATCTTCATGGATGAAAATAGTTTAGATTTTTAGTAAACGGCTCACAATTGATAAATGCAAAAAACAAAAGCAACAATAAGAACAAGAAAATCCAAGAACCCAAAGAGAAAAACAGTAAGCCATAGTTAACTTGAGTTTGCAAACTGAAACCCCCTCCTGTCTATAACGGAAGATGGATCTGGGGGCTAGAATTTGGTGAGTACCACCACAATCAGACATCATGACAAGACAAACAAAAAAGGTAAATTTATAAATATAGATCTGTATTACTCTGGTCCTTTTTTATCCTTGAAGTTCCAGTGCATGTGATAGACAACCATACACTATATACCAAATTCACTGCCTCAAGAGTCAGGAAATGTACACACGCCCAAACGATTGATGAGTGGGGCTGAGGGCAGTTGGAGGTGGGGGACGATTTGTCCTCTACCGCAGAGCACTTTGTTTATGATGTACTCCAGCCCTCCTAAATTAGCAACTTGACATATAAGTGATCCCTGCACGCTGGGCTAATGGGGCACAAGACTTAAGCTGAACTAGTATTTTTAACATTGCAGAGTGCCTTCTTGAGCTTTGCACCTGCAGATGTTTGGGTAAACTCCTTTGAACAGCTGTTCTCCACAGGGGCTCCAGCAACTGCCTGTCAGCCAGGAGAAGTAACTGTTGAGGAACTCCAGGCAGCTGAAAACAGCTTAATCAAAGAGTCAACCAGTTCCTACCACCTATTTGCATTACAGTATGAAGAAAACAAATCCTCCTAAGAAGTGGTCTGGCAGCAGATAGGCACGCTGAAAGCCTTCTCACCTATATCTGTTAACTTAAAGGGATTTTCCATAAGAAAGTAGATGATTATGTCTTCCCTCTGTAAAGGCATTGTTTTCTATAGATCTTACCTCCAGAAGTTCATCTCTTACATTTACTCATTAAAGCTAATTTATGAGGCAAAATGGAACTCAAGCACAGTTCGATCTGAAATGTGAGCATGCCATCTCGGCTCATAGGCTGGTTGCATGTACAACAGGAAAGATATAACTAAATTGAAGGAAAAAAGGCCTGACTACAGCCACCCTCATCTTTGATATAGAGAACTTGCCCACAGATTCTATAGGTAACAGCATGCAATGGTCCATCTTCATCGGACCAGACGTGGGAGGACTTGAGGTTCCACCTGTTACACCCAGGTATTATTTGTGCTAATGGTTGTTTGTTTAAAAAACACACTTTTCTATCTAATTTGCTGAAAATCTTCAGAAGCCCCTGGTGCAGGTCCATGAATGAACACAGCAGCATAATACAGACTTGTTTCAGGCACAGGAAAGCTGGTGGCGGAGACAGGAACAAGGCAGTACATCAAGTAGGTCAAATTCATCCCTGGTGAATCTC